GGCTTTTCATGTAGCTTCTGGGACGACTGTTTGGATTGAGATTGTATGTGTGCGCATTGAGGGGCCGTAGGGGGAAGGGGTGGATGACAGGGAAAGTGTCGGGGTCACTGCACATGCTCCCCTCAGTGAACACATGTGTGGGATGAGCACAGTGTAATGAGTGGCAGTTGTCTTTGTGATGATCAACTTAAGAAAGAACACTGACCGTGGAGATGATGCCGGGGTTGCAAACCACACCTCAAATCAGAGTTCCATGAATATCACTGGTTTTAAACACTGGTATTAACTTGACACAAAGAAGACTGCAGTTATTAACTCAAGTGTTTAGTCTTTAGCCCCACCCCCACTTCATCTGATGAGTACTTTGTTCTCAATTAGCTGATTAACAGATGACTGGCTTCAGATACCTCAGTGACAGTCCGACAATCTATTGGCTGGTTTACTACTTAGCTCTAGAGGGAAGAATAACAGAAAATATTTATTTATTTTCAGTGTGTATTTCAAACCTTCCTCCAGACATCCAACGTTCCCTAGTGCATGAGCAAAACTCCACAGAGTTAATGTAATTTCCATCAACCTCAGCTTTGCCGTTAACAAACTCGTGTAAGATTGTGAGTCCTCAACTGCAGGAGGGGCGTACTGATTGTCTGTAAATGCACTGATCTGGGACGGTCAGTGCAATTTTGATTTAGTTAGCCTGCTTAGATTAGCATTGCTAATAGTATTACTCGTCCAAAGTGGAGATTCCAGACTTGTTTTAATCGTGCATGGGCTTCTGAGGGAGATGGAACTGAGGTGCTTTATCTAATCTGTGTCTTCATTGTGGTTGTGGAAGAAAAATGCATGCACATGCTGGTGGTGGCTCTCTTGCTTCTGGGTTCATGTGCGTTTTGCCTGAGACACTATCACACTCCTCTCCATGGGCAGTCCCCACAGCAACAACAAACCCACTCATATTACATGCCACAAATACACACCACACACACGTACAGACCGTGGCAAATGCAGATTTACCGAAAGATGACTATGGCTTTGGAAATAATGATGGTACAATATGAGTCAATCCTTAGCAACGAATGCATGAAAAGGACAGATGAATGAGAGAATTCTTCTGCCATGACGGGTTATCTATTGCACATGTGGGACAAGTGCGCATGTCTGTTGGCATAACTCTTTACCTTTCAAAGCCGCAGAAATGTTTTGTACATTTTTATTACAGTCCTGCTCACCATTATTGGCACCCATGAAGTTTAAGTACATATAGTGGGATATTTTCAGAAGGAAATTCATCAAGTGAAACAACATTTTACTGCTGATAGCTTGTGCTCAATGCAAAACAGCAGATGATAAAAAACATTTAAAAAGATAAACATTATGAGGAAAACAAAGAAAAACATAATGTTTACCATGTCAATGGTATTGGCACCCTTTGCAGCAAATCAGTATAAAAACCCAATTCGGCTCACCTGTTGCAAATCACAAATAAAGATCACTTGCGATGAACTGCCTCCACACATGTGACATGAATTAACCAATGAATGATCATGTTGGTACTTTAAAAGCCACCTGTTAGTCCATCTTCACATGTGACAATGGTAAAGACAAAGAAGCTGACTGAGGACACCAGAAATGCTATTATTTGTAAGCACAAAACCTCCAAAGGGTATAAAGCCATCTCCAAAGACCTCGGTATCCCTGTTTCAACGGTGCGTAATGTTATTAAGAAGTTTTCCAGGCATGGAACGGTCAGGAACCTCCCTGGACCTGGGGAGAAGAGAAAAATTGATGACAGAAGTCTTCGACGGTTGGTGCGAATGGTGGAAAAAACACCACGTCAAACATCTAAAGACCTAAAGACCAACCTGCAGCAGTCTGGTGTGATTGTTTCAACAAGTACTATACGGCGCACACTAAACAAAGTGGGGCTTTATGGGCAGAGGCCAAGGAAGACCCCATTGCTGAAGAAAATACATAAAAAAGAACGCTTGATCTTCGCAAAAGAGAACCTGGACAAACCTCAAGCCTTCTGGGACAACGTTTTATGGACAGATGAAACAAAAGTGGAGCTTTTTGGTAATTCACACAAACCATATGTTTACAGACGGCGCAATGAAGCCTTTAAAGAAAAGAACACCATACCAACAGTCAAGCATGGTGGAGGATTCATAATGCTGTGGGGCTGCTTTGCGGCATCTGGTACTGGAGGGCTTGACCGTATCACAGGTATCATGAAATCAGAAGATTATCAAGCAATTCTAGAGCGAAATGTCTTGCCCAGCGTAAGAAAACTTGGTTTGAGGCGAAGATCCTGGGTCCTCCAGCAAGATAATGACCCAAAGCACACCTCCAAAAACACGCAGGCATGGTTGAAAGGGAAAAAATGGACTGTTTTAAAATGGCCAGCAATGAGTCCAGATCTCAATCCAATTGAGAATCTTTGGAGGGTGCTGAAATCTGCCTTGGAGAAAGGAACCCTGCAAATGTACAAGAACTTGAGCATATTGCAAAAGAAGTGTGGGAGAAAATGCCACCCGAGAAGTGCAAGAAGCTTATAGATGAATATAAGAAACGTTTGGAGGCTGTCATTGCTGCCAAAGGCTGTGCAACCAAATATTAAGGAGGGGTGTCAATATTAGTGCACATGCTGGTTTTCTGTTTTGTCCTTTGCAATTAAAATATTTATGTTCAAATGGCTATTGTCTTTGTTAAATTACTTTGGACCTCAAATTGAAAGATACTGCTGATTTAAGTTTTGAACATTTCCATTTATTTCTGAAGATATTCACTCAGCTATGCTAAACATGAAGGGGTGCCAATAATGGTGAGCAGGACTGTATATCTTACAATGTTGGCATTTTCTCTCATAATTTACAGCATGTACAAATTCATATGCATTTTTGCTGTGGAACAACTTAAATTCTTGCTTGTTATCTAAAATGTAGTACAGAAGAATCTTCAGTTTTCCCTGGTACGCAGTCCAAAAACAAAGGACTCAAATCTGCAACTGTTGAGTGCTAATCACTGAACTATTAAATTTTCCTTTTTTGACTGATTGTACAATCAGCAACTCATTTGAGGTCCAATGCGAAACCAATAACTGTGTTTAATACATGGCAGACTGGAATGGCTTGAATGGTTTCTTATATACAGAGTTAGCGTCTTTGTGTTGTCTCCATAAATCATTAGCTGAGTCTGGTGGGCCTCTATAGCTTTGGTAAATAGACAAGTTGGGAGCCATCCCATCCCATTTCTTGTTCAAACAGTGGTGGTATGACAGATTAAAAGACCCCCCAGACTGACTTTCTTGCACCTGCTCATTCATGCACATGCGGGGGGGAAAGAGAGATCTCCTTTACTCCTAAACATTAACTAGATTCTCCTGGAATGCTGAGCTAAACGGGATTGGATTGTATCAGGTATTTTAATTAAATGTTATTTGTATTAACCAAATCTGATTTGTTAAACAAACCTTTCCATTATCTTTCCATTATATTTCCCTTTTCATGGACCACCAGCGATGGGCAACATGGAACAGGCCCTTTTCTCTTGTAATGCCTTTGCTATGTCATTGATTATTACTGTGAGGAATATTTCCAAAGGCGCACATAGGCGCACTCCAGCAGATGCATATGTCAAGAGGCAAAAAATAGAAATTTGAGCTGTCCTACATCGTGGGTGGTACCAGTATCTGCGTGCTTTACCTTGGAGGTGGGTGACTGGAGTCTGCTCTTGAGAAATTGCTGCATAGACTACTGATATCAGGAAGGTAGGAATGACATGTTAAGATATATTTGGAGAGCTTCAGCACATGTATTAGAGCATAAATATATCAGGGCACCAATACTGTGGACACCTTAAGTATCCTGGGAGAGCACAAGCATATACAGCTAGTGTTAAAAAAAGTCTTTGGACGGTTTTAGTATCTTGTGGAAACACAGTAGTATCACATTCCCATAGTTAGTATCTCATTTATCTAAATCTGTAAACAGGAATCTTCTTCACCCTAACTCCAAATGGGGCTAAGTCTGAACACAGTGAATGTTACATCTCTTATAATGAGATTAGAACGTCCACTGGTGTTTTTCTCAGCTCCTGCTCTGCAGATCACAGCCATAATTTCCATAGTGAAATAAAAAAGGGCCAATTGCTCACTTTCAAACAGACACCTAGCAACCTTCGCTTTGTTTAAAAATGTATTTGATTATATGCTGGTTGTTCAAAACTCATAAGAATGAATCCAACTTTGACTCACTAACATAATAAAGAACAATGTAAAGCCATGTAAAAATTAAAACATTATGATGTCATACATTTAGCTCAGCAGTAACAAAGATGTGCTTTGTAAACCATTTTCTACCACCTACCCCCCAGTGAACACTGTGTAGTGTTAAGTGATTCAGCATGATAATTCATCAATGCTGCGCTCTGAACCTGTTACATTGTTTTTGTCAGTAAGATACTTTCCAGCCACAAGTAGCGCTCTAATTTAAGCGAGTGCATAACACAGCTGATATGAGCAGTGATGGTGCTGACAACCTTCAGCAAAGTTTGTTGTAAATAGTTGAAAATCTAAATGTAAGGGAATTACAACAATTCACCTAGATACATATGTATGTAAATAAATGATTGTAAGGTAAATGTATTCTGTTGTTCTTCATGGTCTTTCTCCTCTTTGCCTCTGTTTTATGTATGGCTTGCTTTCATGTATGGACGACAGCGTTAGGTGGAATGTGAGTCAACGCTCAGCTTTTAAATAGCTTCCCTGCCTGAATCAGTCACTCCTAATATGGTGGAGGGCTGTGACACTGCCCCAAAAATATCAGCCACCATCTCACTGAGAAAAACACTTTTCCTTGACTTCATCATATGGGATGAATTGTGATTGTCGTATATGTCAGATGGAAATGTCTTTAAAGTGACATGAACCATGCTATGAAGATGAAGAAGGAATTGGATTTCAGATAATGTGTTAAAAAAAAAGATGATATTACCGGAGAATTTTGTCAATCATTAACACAAATGATAATTTATTTTGTTTCAGGATACTGGTGGGGGCACCACAGGCAGCAGGGCAAGGCCTGCTGAGGGGCAGCCGACCGGGCGCTCTGTTCAGGTGTCCAATCACTCCAGAAGAGTATGACTGTAAGAGGGTTGATATTGATGGAGATGGTGAGTTGATTGATTGAATACTTTATTGATCTTTATTGAGTTTGTACATATGTATTATATTATATTATATTACATTACATTATATCATATTATATTTCTACATTATTAGTGCATTATTTCTTTTAAAAACTTTCCTTTTGTTTTTCGGAAAACCAAATGTTTATGAATCCAAGCATTTCTTGCTTGCAAAAGCATCTAATTTATGTTCCCATGAGTGAAAATGCACTGTTTGCTTACTCTGGTCTCAAGCCTGATTGATTTACAATATGTAACCACAATGTTTGACATTTCCCCCTGTGTTTTCACTCAGTGAGTCTGGACAGAGAGAGCAAAAACAACCAGTGGCTGGGAGTAACTGTCAAGAGTCAGGGGATAGGAGGGAAGGTGGTGGTAAGTAATGGAACTAACATTTATTTCTGGAATTGAAAAATAAATTGTTCCAAGTGCTTACTTAACATGTTTAACAATGATGACTCATCTGTAGTATTTGGTTGTCTGTTATGTTCTTATTCAAAAGAATGAATCCTGCTTTTAGAGCTGATCAGATATAACGGATACCCCACTACTTAGACAGTTGATATTCAAGATATACACTGTTTTTCACCAGACTTGTGCTCACCTGTATGAGCTGAGACAACGTGTGAATCAGCCTTCAGAGACTCGGGATCCCATTGGCCGCTGCTATGTTCTGAGTGAGGACCTAACAGAGCGAGATTACCTGGATGGAGGGGAATGGAAGTTCTGCGAGGGTCGGCCACAGAGCCATGAACAATTTGGCTTCTGCCAGCAGGGCATGTCTGTCAGTTTCAGTCCAGACAACAAATACATTCTGTTTGGGGCTCCAGGAACATACAACTGGAAAGGTAATGTGCCTGAATAGCATAAGCAAAGTCTCACTTGTTGAAATAAAGCTGTATGTTTAAACTAATCGACAACCTTATGAGATTTGTGATTGGAGGCTGCATAAAGATGAAATCCCTGAAATGTCTCCGTAGCCTCCACAGAACAGCATGTGTATATGTAGACAGATGTTTTTTCTTTAAGCTGTCGTATCAGCAAATGTGACAAGCTGTTTGATCCAAGAAAAAGGATAACTGCTAAAATAATATGCCAAATATTCTAAGCAGTACATAAATTGAGTATTGTCCATTTTTGTTTTCAAAGCAAAAAATCACTTTGTTTTTTTTAACTTTCTGACAAGCACTGGTACAAAGTCTGCATTTCTAGAGTTGCTGTGTCTGCATGTCTCTGTTCTAGTTTATGCTGTTTGAAATGAAGAGCTAGTATTTTCTGTGGCCTTGCAGTGCCTTCACCTATTTGCTTTCCAGGTGAGATGCGTGTCGAGCACCTAAACCAGACTCTGCTTGACCTTGGTCTCTATGATGACGGACCATTTGAGGTGGCAGATCAGAAACAACTTAATGCCCGGCTCATCCCTGTGCCCTACCATAGTTACCTGGGTAGGATTTGCCCTTTCTGCTCACTGCTGCCTGTGCACAGGAGAGAAAGAGAGGGCCGGGGGAAGATGACAAAAGGGCTCAAACTGCACCCAAACAAATTTGACCTAACCACAGGAATCATGGCAAAAGCTAATTTGCCCCTTACTGGTGTATGTGTGGGGGGGGGACTTGTTTTCTTGTCCTGCTCACTCCCTGGAGATTTTTTCTAGCTGAGCCTATCAGTGTATGACTCATAAAGCCATGAATATGACTCCAGCTCATTTTGAGAACACTCTCTTACAGTGGGTGGATGAACAAAAATGCCAGCAGCTAATTGTGGTCTGACACAAATTCTTATGATGCCAGTGACTGCGCCTGCTCCTCGGCAAACAAGGAAAATACTGTATGCATATAACAGTGATGCTATCCTCACTGCAGGCACCAACCCCCAAGAAGTGGAAAAAATGCAAAAACTAATGTCAAAACTCTGAGAGCGTGGCATGCAGTCTGAGCCTGTAAAGTCATCTCTCCACCAGGTGCCCGGTGGTTTTGAGGGAGAAACCACTGAAGCACCACAAAAACAAAGCACCAATCAATCACAACTCACCGGCACCCCTCTTCTCCCCTTTTCCTCCCTTACCATTTCACCACCCCATCACTCCCCTCCCACACTCCTCTCCCCTGTCTCCTTTTTTTTTTCCATTTTGGGCCACAGGGCTCTTGTTCATGGCTAGCCCCAAAGAAGATGCACCGCTGTACAAAACTCTGGAGCCCTCCAAACGGCCCACATTTGAGGATGTAGCTCATAATAGCTACTTAGGTTTGTAGGCTTGGAGTGTTGTTGTTTGGACCGAACTGGGCTTGTAGTGGACATAGTCCCTGTTTCTTCTGAGTCTTTGTCTTAATCTCACGTCTATTTTGATTTTAGTGTATAATCTATGTACTTTGCTGTCACAGAGACAACCATTTAAAAGTGTGATCTTATTAAATTAAGTAAACTAAAGTAGATTATGTTTATGCAAACATCTTATCTACATTTAGTGAATTTAATTTAATATTATTTTCTGTTTTATTTTTTATTAGACAATAGATGAAATCAATGGCTGTCTCTCTGAGTAGCAGGAGGGTGTTCGTCTTCTCTGTCTGTAGGATGTCGTTGTCTTTAGTTTTTCTACCTCATTTGTTAGTTTGCATGTGTCTGTCCAGATTATTCTTTCCAGGGCCTATTGGTGGTGGTTTTTCTGTTGATTGTTTGGAATTCTAAACTAAACTAAGTAAAAGGGTTTAACTAACAACCTAAAGTTAGGGTCCTAATGAAACCCGCATGAGCGTCCGTCCCTCGTGTATTTTCAGGTGTGCTTATTCAGAACCACAAAGGTAAAATGGTAGTGGCAACACAAGACAATTGACTCACTTGTTGTCTTTGTATCTCCGAAACATGCAGCGATTTTACAACGCCGTGCCCATGTAAAGTGGAGCAAGTGGAATACATAGAATACATACAGAGTAGAATACATGTCCTGGCCAGCAGCTGTCAGCTGTCTTTTCGATTTGTCACATTTGGTATTGAAAACCTCAAAGACACATGTTATTCCTTCAGTAATTAGTGGAATAACTTAAATATCACAAAGCTTATGCAAGTGTAAGAGTGGCATTACTGTCCAGCTGCTGTTGGGTTGTTAAAGGTTTTTATGATGAAAAGACTTGATGTGTCAAGTGTAAGGGAGTGTCAAGGGAGTAAATGTGTTTAAGTGAATAAGTTATGAGCAGTGTGTACTTAGATTTATTAAAAAAGCAAACACATCTCATGTCTGCTGTGCTCCTTGTTTCCTGCCTTTGCCTCTATTAATCTATTAACAGTTGTTTTTCGTCAGTTGTTTACTGATCCCATTTGGTAGTATTCTCTTATTAGCACTTTTTCTGCTTTGTTTTTTACATGACATTTGTGGTTTGTGGCCTGGCCTTAGCTAAACAGAACCTGTTCAGCGTTTGTGTAGGGTTGAGGCCATTATTCCTCACTAAGTGTGCTGATCTACAACAAATCTTTTTATTTGCATTCCTCAAAGCCTTCTTGACTTCACTGCATTGAGTCGTCTCCTAGACAACACTAATTCCCACATGACCTTTTAGCCTTCATTTATTAGCTTTTATTGATCCCAACCGGATGATTTTCAACGCCTAAACACGCATCTTAAAGTAGCAGAATTTGATGTACATATTTGCAGCTATTAGGATGTCAGTTACAGGTAGACAAAGAACAATTTAAATGTCACCCACTCTTCAAACTATAAATATATAAATCTTTAAGTATAAAGTGAAGTGAAACCAGTCATTAAATTAGGGTTTTCATTACGGTTATACCTACTGGTCTCGCCTTTTTGAGGCTCATGACATTTTCTCCTTTCTTTTGAAAACATTTTGCTCCATTCAGCTTTTATTCCCTATTTAGTTTTACAGTGATGACCTTGCCGCAGGCATGCATTCAAAAGCCACCCTTTGTGGAAAAAGCAGCGCCTTGTGTCCACTTTTTGGTTTAACAGGAGCTGCAGTGTTGCATTCCACACCTGCCACCCTGGAGCCGCTCACTGTTTGTGTCTGTTTTGTCCCCCTCTGCATGTTTACGTAGCACTAACAAATGTCCACATGGGTCATCCTCCTTCTCACACATTCTGCATGATTGTGTAACAGAAAATCAAATGCATGAGGTTCTTGCATAAAGAATAAGTGAAATGATAAGTGTTATTGTTCATAGCTTGGTTAGACAAACAGAATTATCTAAATTACACCTCCACACGTCTCTGCTACTCGAGATCTACATGCAAGCTCATTGTCATCATTCCTTTACACATACCTACACAAAAGAATGCTGTTGTCAAGAAGCACCCACATGGAGGAGATGCTTTGAGCAATAAATCTGATTAATGCCCTACCGCTCTGTTGTTACACTGCCCTCAGCAGAAGAAACTGATGCAGAGCTACAGTATCATGAATCTCATGGGACATTTAATGTAGGCCAATGCATCTCTTCCTGTTTGCTTTTTTACAGCAGAAACATCACCCTATTGCAAACAAAGCACATGGCACTCATCATGAGTTTGGCACAAAATCAATAGGCACTTAAGGCACACATTTCATTAGTCAGAAGATGAGCAGAACATCACACACGGAGAAGATGAGCCTCTTAATCCCATGATCAGTACTAACCCTTGACCTTCCCACCCATCCTTCCTTTTCCATCTCCTTCTCTTCCTTTTTTTCTCAATGTCTCCTTATTCCACTAGGTTTTTCTGTAGATTCCGCCATGGGGATAATGAGCCTTGGGGAGCTGACCTTTGTGGCAGGTGCACCTCGGGCCAATCACACAGGGGCTGTGGTGTTGCTGAGGAAGGATAATGTGCACCGGCTGGTCCCTCGTCACATCTTCTGGGGGGAGGAGCTAGCGTCTTCATTTGGGTACTCAGTGGCCACCACAGATCTCAATAATGATGGGTAAGGAAAAGACAATGGATAGCCACCATTAAAAAGAACAACAAGTGTCAAAGAAAGGTGTTAAAGAAAGAAGAAATGCCACACAATTAAAAGATCTGCGACAAAAGTGATCTGGATCAGCAACCTACAATAGAGGGTGGATCATTTGCTCATCACTGCATTTAATTGGATGAACATCGAACTCTGAGTTTTTCATGTTCTTAAAAATAGCATGCGGTGAATATTAAGCAAAGACCACAGAAAAATAACAGAAATGTTTAGAACATGCTGTATTTTGACTGTGGTCACATTATGTTGCAAAATTGTATTTTAGTTCATGCTTCTTTTGGGCTACAATATTAAAAGTATCTGTTTTGATTAGTTACCTGATCGACCACTAACAGTAAATCAAGAGACAGCAGCTCATCCTTTTCCTCAGGCATCATTAAATTGGAAGAGAGGTAAAAGTCAAAAAGCCTAAATGGCAGTTCAGATATTTTCTGTGTCATAATAACTTTTTTTTCTTTTCACTATTTTCCATGTGGACTGTGTCCATTGTCAATTTGTTGTCGTCTGATTTAAAAAAGCTTCAATCCGTGATTGGGCAAAACTGATATTTAAGGTGGGCATTGGTTCTAAAGACCTTTTTTAAGTTGTTTGAATTTCCCTTTTTTCAATCCTTCAATCCTAGATGGACAGACTTGATTGTGGGAGCACCTAACTTTTTTGACCGTAAAGCAGAGATTGGCGGGGCTGTTTATGTATATCTAAACCCGTTTGGTCACTGGGATGATCAGGCTCGACCCATCCGTCTCAATGGGACATATGACTCCATGTTTGGGATGACGGTCAGCAGCATAGGAGATCTGGACCAGGACGGATATGGAGGTATGAGCGATGCTTTGTGTTAATTGAATTTTAATCTTACTCTCCTCAAATTCCCCCAAAATAATTACAAAAGTAAAAAGTAAGCAATGTTTTTTATGGTTAACTAGAATTTGCCACAACTGTGAGTGACTGTGTGTATGACTGTGTGTGAGAAGGTGACAGTGACATAAACAATTCAGTTAATATTATCCTGCTTTTGTGTAAGATTCTGTTGATTCAGAATATTTTGATGGTGGAACAGGGTAAAGCATGAGTAGAGTTCAATTCACCATAAGCCTTTAAAAATGAGAACTGTGAGGTATATCTGCTTCCCATCCGTGCAGATATCGCTGTTGGTGCCCCTTTTGATGAACAGGGAAAGGTTTTCATCTACAGAGGCTCCAGTGCTGGAATTGAAACTAAACCTGCTCAGGTAAGTTCATCGATCAACTTTTTGGATGAAATTTCTCTTTTAGAGCAAAATAAAGAAAAGGTGACATTAAGTGAATACAATCTTTATCCCATTAGATTCTGGATGGCCGTGAATTTGATGTCCAACGTTTTGGATACTCCATCTCAGGTGGTTTGGATATTGACAACAACCACTATCCAGATGTCGCAGTGGGCTCTCTTAATGATTCAGTGGTTCTTTTCAGGTGAGACAACACTTTTTAAGACACTAAAACACACATTTTAATTGAAATGAAAGAATACTACTCAAGACATTACATTTCCAACCCATGTTCAGAGACTGTAATTTGTATTTTAATACCATCCTGGGGCCATCTCCTGTTTTTTACTCCCCTTGTCAGCCCACTTTAATTTCTTCTTTGAATAAAATTCCACTAGTAACAAAAAAAAATCTTTAAAGAGTGCATGTCCAGGTAGACAAGACATTCTTTCTTTAAGCGACAAACATATATCTGAGTAACATGTGTTATCATAAATCATGCATCTTTATTCACCTGCTGCTATCTGTAAATTGTAATTTCATCCTTTAATGTGTCTCTCTGTATCCAAAAGGTCTCGCCCAGTCATCCACGTGATCAGAGAAATATCAAACAACCCTTCTTTCATTGATCTGGAGCATCACAACTGCAAGGGTCGGGACGGAGTCTGGTGAGATCTGTGGACTGTGACAATCGTCAGGGTTAAATGTTAAAACGTTAAAAAAAGAAGAAAAATCCACAATTGTCTTTCTTTCTTTCTTCCTTCTCCACAAATTCAAGTATGGAGATAAAGGCCTGCTTCGCCTTTACAGCCCGCCCACAGCGCTACTCACCACATATCAGTAAGTGACAGAGGTTTCCACAATTTTGCTGCATAACTCTGCATCCACCTAATATTTCTTCATACTTTCTGTCAGCTTGTGTCCTAGCATTGCCTTATTTTAGTTTTAATGTCTCGCTCCATGTCTTAACTGTGGATTTGCTCTGTTCCAGCCCTTGTGGTGCACTTTGAAGCTGACTCTGAGCGCAGGAAGCTGGGCCTGCCGCACCGCGTTAACTTCCTGGGCCGCAGCTCGCTGGAACCGGAGTACACGCAGACGGAGGAAGTGGAGCTGCATTTGCAGGGACAGTTTGTGTGCACCACTGCTGAATTCCAGCTGCACGTCAGTGAATGACTTTGAGTTGTTCTTAGTTTCTTCTCGGCAGAACTGGGGTTCTTGTTCTGCAGGTGTGACATGTGTGGGTCCAACGATCGTCTTTCTTCATGTTTACGCAGGAGAACATCCGGGACAAACTGCGTCCCATCTCATTGGCTATAACGCATGAAATCAAGCCAGTGCCACCACGTAGACACCCTGCCAAGAAACTGGAGAAGCTGCCGCCAGTACTGAATATCTCTCCCTCAAATACAATGCACTCTGAGGTCTGTAAAAAGTATTTTATCTTAAGGATCCATTTTACTGTGCTGCTGACACAGGATTGGACTTTTTAGTGAACTTTT